TTGATAATTTCCCCAATTGGCCTAATGGATGAATCTTGCACCACGACCTCTGAATTTCTTCCTCTTCTTTTGTTCCTTCTTTCCCCCTCTCTCTCTCTCTCTCTCTCTCTCTCCTTTCTCTTTTTCATTCTCGGATGGATAAGTGAAGTGAGTGATGTGTGAAAATGCATGTACATATTATATATATAAACTTTATTTTTGACAATGTTGCAAAACTCCATCAAATCTTCTAGATACTCCTATATTGATAGTACAATATCACAACGCTCCAATTTTTAGTGTATCAACCCCTCAGTGCCTTCCATTTCCCCTCTAAACAAAGATTTGAGTGTCACAGTGATCCCTTAGTTGAAATCCTTTAAATAGAAAGGGATCTGTCACAACAAAGTTACATATAATACCATAACGCTCCCAAGGAGCTTTCTACACCTAAATTTTCTAACTTAATTCTAAGCTCTTGTAGACTTTAATCAGCACTTAATTACTTAAAATTTTACAAGCATCTCATATTTATAATGGCACACATGAACTTATTATCTAGTTTAAAATGAAGTAGCTTATTCATATAACAATTTTTATTATATGATGAGTAGGAAATTTTGGTTCTAGGAGTGATTATATCATCACCAAAAGATTTAATTAAATTAACTATTAGAAAAGTAGAGTGCCATCCATTTGTATGGTCAAACCAACAATTCTACCCGCACTTCTAAAATGCTTAATGGAGCAATAGATAATACCCATATTCTTGTTGTTGTGAATAAGGAGTTACAAAATTGATACCAACATAGAGAATGTTTCACTTCACATAGTATTATGGCTAAAATATCATTTCATCATTAATTTGTCTATGTAGTTTTTGGTTAGACGGGGTCTATAACTGATATAAGGGTGCTGCGGTGGGCGGTATAAGGAGTCTTCAAAGTTCTACTTGGTAAATATTATTTGTTGGATTTAGATCATCAAACATAGATAAGTTAAAGACACTATTCAAGAGACTTCAATATCATGAAAGTGAGTACCGTAAGAAGACATATCATAGATACATACCAGAGCAGGAGTTGTATAACCATGTCCAAACAGGCTCAAGATATTCAGAATGCATTACAGTTACTTTACATTATGGGGCTGTTTGGTTGCCTGAATTAAGAGTGTGAATTAATTTAATTACATGCATTTAATAAATTAGTCTGTTTGGTTTGTTTTGAACGGAACTTTAGTAATTCCTTGGAAGCATTATCCGTGTATTCGAGCGGCCATTCGCGCGACTTCGAAACCCGCTCAAATTGAGCGGGTTCGAAATCCTCTCGGCCGCGACAACCACTCACTCGTCTCGCAGCTCGCTGTGTTGAAGTCGAAGCTCGCCGGCGAAGGCGAGATGAGTCCCAATTTAGATTTAGGATTCGAGGCAGATTTTGGATCATAAGACCCCAATTAGTTAGGTTCGGGTCACCACTATGTTGAAGTCGAAGCTCGCCGGCGAAGGCGAGATGAGTAAGGGAGAAGAGAAGTGGCAGCCAGCGATTGGCGTCGACGGAACCTACGAGAGTGATTCGAGCGCTGTGCCGACGCAACGTCTCCATTTCTCCTCTCGCTTGCTCGCAACTTCTCCATCTCCATTTCTTCTGCATTCTGACGATGGATACGACTGCGCTTCTTGCAACGGCGGCGGTATTCAATACCAGTGTTTTGTACTGGTTTATATGGGTGATGGGCTCCGCGGAGGTGAAGGGAAAACGAGTAGTAGATCTCAAGATGGGATCGATCGCTAAAGAATAAGTCCAGGACAAATATAAAAAGTACTGGTCTTTCTTCCGCCGGCTGAAAGACACCGTCGAGTCATAGGAAAAGGTACCAGCCTTCCGTCCCAAACCGCTCCCAACGCGACGCCACTCAAGCACATGATGAACTCGTCGTCGATCTTATCAAAGCCATTCGATTCGCATCGATGGAAAGCTCGTCGTGGATTTAGAGGCCGACGATGGCCTGTGGGAAGAAGTGGGTTCGTCTATCAGCGGAGAAATCGATTGGGGGGGAATTGGAGAGAACGGAGATGACATCGTCGTATTTGGAGACCCACCAATCATGGTACTCGAGGATGAGGAAAATGACGCGACGATTGAAGCAGCGGGAGGTGAGATAGATAGGGATAACACCATCGTTGAACTCATGGTAGAGGTTTCCAGTGTAGCCACCGGTGGAGAATTTTTAATTAATTTTTTTCTTTTTAATTTCTAAAAAAACTCATCTACTACTTTTTTTGCCATTCATGCATCTTGGATCCAGTAAACTATCATGCATGAATGAAAATTGCCATTCATGCATCTTGTAACAGAGCTGGAGGCATCAAATATGAAAAGCAAAAAGATGATTAAATTAAGTATTGCAGAGATAAGATGCTCAGGGGTATGAGTGATTTTACACTTGGAGATAGAATTCGAATCGAGTATGCTGACGGCCTCGTTTTTGCATCAGTCATTTCAATGATCTTTTTCTGCACTTTGTTGGCCGATTTACCTTTTATGTACATGTTTGTTTGTATGTAAAAAAATTCGATTGAGGCCTTATCTTGTGAATTAGATTGCACAGTTGTGTCTAGTTCGTTGAGACGAATCAAATTAGCTCATTCGTGCTCAAATCATCATTATTTGATGCTTGTCGAGGAGAGAACTTTTAGAGAGATTGTTAGGGATTTTTTCTTAATAAATTTGATAATCAAAATAAATTAAGACATTTTTTATTAATGAAATTATCTTTTTAAAACATAACATATAAAATTAAAGTATATATACATCCGTAGAGATTTTGTCAGTGTCAGGGAATTTAGCTATTAATTACAATACTATCTGATTTGATATGACTTCTGTTTCCGTACAGTTCTGTTTGAGCTGTTCCGTATCTGTTCTGATTTGATATATGTCCGTATCTGTTCTGATTTGATCTGTTTTGTTCTGATCTGCATAAATTTGATATCTGTCTGATTATGTTCTGGTTTCTGTACGGATTTTGTTTGAAGTGTTTGGTTTTGGATTCTGGAAGTTTTGATTGGAGGTTTATTGCTTTGCTGAGCTGTTGAGCTCACCCTTATTTTCTGCGTGTGTTTTTTCAGGCTCTGGGAAAGGGAAGGAGGTCTTGGACTAGAGTTCAGAGTTTGATCAGATCAGTTATAGGTATTTTGTACTTTTTGATTTTTATACAGTCATGGCTTTTCTTCTTTGTTTTATCTGTCAGCTATGTACTGTATTTGTAGATGATTGTTTTGAGAAAAAGAAAAATATAGATGATTAGTTCCGCTGCATTTGATGTTTCATAGTAGCTCTGTGTTTGTTTGTTTTTGAGTTGAAATATTTGGAAGAATCAGTTCCGAAGCAAATTCCAAAGCCAGACCCTGGTCTGTCTGTTCGTTAAGCTGGTCGCGGCCCAGTGCGGGCGTGATCCGTCTCGGGTCGGGTCGTGACACGTTGAACTCATGGTAGAGGTTTCCAGTGTAGCCGCCGGTGGAGAATTTTTAATTTCTAAAAAAACTCATCTACTACTTTTTTTGCCATTCATGCATCTTGGATCCAGTAAACTATCATGCATGAATGAAAATTGCCATTCATGCATCTTGTAACAGAGTTGGAGACATCAAATATGAAAAGCAAAAAGATGATTAAATTAAGTATGGCAGAGATAAGATGCTCAGGGGTATGAGTGATTTTACACTTGGAGACAGAATTTGAATCGAGTATGCTGACGGCCTCGTTTTTGCATCAGTCATTTCAATGATCTTTTTCTGCACTTTGTTGGCCGATTTACCTTTTATGTACATGTTTGTTTGTATGTAAAAAATTTTGATTGAGGCCTTATCTTGTGAATTAGATTGCACATTTGTGTCTAGTTCGTTGAGATGAATCAAATTAGCTCATTCGTGCTCAAATCATCATTATTTGATGCTTGTCGAGGAGAGAACTTTTAGAGAGATTGTTAGGGATTTTTTCTTAATAAATTTGATAATCAAAATAAATTAAGACATTTTTTATTAATGAAATTATCTTTTTAAAACATAACATATAATATTAAAGTAAATATACAAATATGTAATAAATAAAAAAATTTATGAAACTTTCATTCAAATTATTTAATATTAAGCTTCCATACATCATGATTAATAGGTTGAATAGAAGCAACAAACAAATAAAAAAAATAAAATAAAATTTTTAATGAACTAATAAGCAAATTCTAATAATGAATCAACATGAAGAATGTGCTGCAGTTTAGTGCTCTGAAATTTATTTGGAGTTGAGCTGAAGATCTCATTTCTTCTTTTTGGCTGTTTTTGATGAGTTATTAAAGAAATGAACTATATTTGCATTTGGTTGTTTTTCCGAAAAGCTTTTCTAATTACTATTATGAGCACTCATTTTTAGTAAAAAATAATTTATAACCTTTAAGCTGAAGATTGTAACATAGTTTTATCCGTATCTATATCAACTTATTGTGTTTTCCTTTGGTTGGCATATGAAAATATCCATGCCACGCAGCTCACTTTGCTCCATTTTGAGAGCTTTGGAAGGCTTCGTTCGGAACATCTTTCATATTGTTTTTTACAATGGTTTATTAGTTAATTTTTGTACTAAAAAAATGTTTTAGAAAGCAAGAAGGCTATCCCAAACAAAGTTTAAACAATCAGTGATTACTTTTATAAATATACTAGTTATAATGACAAAAAAAAATATTACAAATGCATTGTTTTTACTTTACTCTGGATATATCTAACCAAACAAATGAAACATTTCTCCTGCGTTTACTTTGCAGAACCAAACAGCATCAAAGTTTTTTAAATGCACTACATTTATTTTACACTGCATTTACTTTACATTGTGTTTAATTTGCAGGCAACCAAATAGCCCCTATATTTACTTTACACTATTTTTCTTTGGAGGCAACCAAACAGTCCCAAATTTAACTCAGGACTTGTTAAATCCCTAAATCCTACTCTTCGCCTAACAACCCTGGATTTTGGTTTCCGCTCCAGCTCTTTCTCTCTCTTTTTCTTCTCTATCTCCCCGCCTCTCTCTTTTGTCGACTCTTTTTTCCCTAGCCCTAGAAGTCAAGTGCTGTTGATTTCGCTCGCGGTACTTCGAGAACTTGCGATACGGGCTGCGATATGAACTTGAGAAGGGCTGTAACTCCTTTTCTCCGTGGCTTTTTTGAACATAAAGGAAATTGGAGATGCACGTCTGGATCCTGGTGCGAATTTGAGTGTTACGGATTCTCAGAGGCTAGCAAAAGTTCGATAAGATTTTCCTGTCAAAAGCTTTGTTTTTTTTTCCTTATTGCCTATGTCTCTTTTTTAATTCCATTTGTCTCTAGATGTCCCTGAATTCTCTAGCCGATTCGGGGGACGCTCGGATGACTTCATTAAATTTGCAACAGAAAACGTTTGTCCTGCCATTGTCTATGTCACTCATAAAAAGGGTACACATTCTTATGGCCGAAGCTCTCAACTTTGTAACATAAACTTATATTCAGTTTTCCTCGTTGTTTGTAGGAATTGGAGGATCTGGAATCATCATAGATTCCGACGGCACGGTCTTGACCCGCGCTTGTAGCAATTTTTCACTGGATTCGAGAAGCAAGGTTAGCTTTTTGCACTATTCCTTCAATTTCAAGAATAATCAATTGCTCAAAGTATTTTGTAGAAATGTTTGTTTGATTGGTTAATAAAAAAATCTCTCTTTCTTTCTCTCTCTTATTTTTTTTTTATTTTTATTTCGCTCCTTAATCACTTCTTCTCATGCCAATTGTTGCATGCCTATTTCATTCTACACAAACACTTTTCTTCTTCTGCTTAATAGTCCCATGTCATTTATTTTAAAAGGCCTTCGCTACTGTAGCAACAACAAGACTATGGGGTTATTTGATATCGGATTTGTACTCAGATTTACGCCAGATTTATGGTAAATTCTGCCAAATAGTTTCGAAGCGACCCATAAATTCCAATCTCGCATAAATCTCGAATTTATGTATTTATGGCATAAATCCAAGATTTACTAAATCCGGTCGTTCGGCGGATTTATGTATTTACAGATTATCGGATTTACGAGCTTGTGAGTGAGCTACCTCCCGTCTTGAAAGTCTTGAAGGAAAGAGGAAGTGAAGATGGTTGCCTATGCAGTATGCAGTGTGCAAGCTCCCATCATGACTTCCGATCCGATGACTTTGAAGGACGCAAAGCAATAAGTGCGCTCCTATCGTGTGAAGAATGCACAAAACTTGAAGCTGAAGCAGCCATGAAGAAATGACGACGAGGAAAAGTGACAAAGCAGGAGAACAAGATGAAAAGCAAACCCTAGATGGCCTCCCAAATTATAAATTAGTCTTTGTTAGATTGAATAATTAGTAGTATAATTGTCATTGAGTTAATTTAATTAATATTAGTAGTTTATTAGTTATTATAGTTATTAGTAGTATAATTGTCATTAAATTTGGTTAATAGTTAAATAATTAATTAAATTATTCATATGAGTATTAGTTAAATAGATTTCAAAAAGTAAATAATTAATTAATTAGGATTTAGGAATTTAATTAGATAACTTGTAATATAATAAATAATTTGCTAATTTAAACCTAAGTAATTAATTTGATGATTAGTAATAATTAAGTCATCTTTTATTTATATTATTTATCATTATAACTTTATAAAGGTAATTAAAATTAATAAGTAACTCATAGTTAACTCGCAAATTAAATTCAAAGCACATTAAATTTAAATCATGAATTATGTTATCAAACAGTTTCTCAAGATTTCTCAGGATTTAACATTTGTCATGTCAAACAATTTTCAGGATTTAACACCCTCAGGATTTACTAAATTCGGATTTACAAGATTTACTATATCCCACTAAAGTTAAATCCAATCCGATACCAAACTACCATAAGGCTTCGTTTGGGACAACTTTTTTGTTGCTTTCCAAAACAACTTTTTAGTACAAAAAATTTTGTACAAAAAAGTTGATATAGAAGCCATAAAAAAGCCTTCTCAAAAGAAGCTTAAGTTTTTCATCCATGGCATTAGCAGTAAGGTTTAAACAATTTTCTCCCCTAATATGAACATCTAGTTGTTTTTTATTTTGTGTGTGTGTGTGTGTGTTTTTTTTTTTAATTTTGATCATAGGCGAGCATTGCTTAGCAGGATCACTTTTTTATTTAATTAGTCATATGATTTAGAATGCAGAAGGTTTGATCCCTTATTGGTTTTACGCATTGTTACTTGTATCTGTAACACAAGAATGTTAATATTGTCTCTCTTTGAAGTTCAATATTTGATCTTAAATTTAAGATTACATAATAATATTTAGTTTTCAATTAGTCATTATATTCTAGTATTTAAGGATGGTTGATTCCTTATATTTCATTCTACATATTGTTCATTATATTGTTAACATTGATTGCTCAATATTGTTTATTTTTGAATAAAAAGCAGATCAATATCAGTCTAAATGATGGAAGAAAATTTTTAGGAACTATTCTGGAGTCTAATGAGGATCATGATCTTACTCTTTTAAAGATACAATCAGAGATTCCCTTACCAACAACAACATTTGATTATTTGGAAGATTATAAAGGAAGCGAATTGATTTCTTTTGAACATCTATTAAGTAGAAGAGCTTATCCAAGGTACTATCGAAGAATGAATTATTATTCACATTTTTGCTAGGTACTGCTATGAAATATGATGGATTTTGTCTATACGTTTATCTTCTATATGTGAACTAATTTGATCATTGACATTAATTCGTATAACATATACATAGTTTATCATCTATTGCTTATATCCCAAAATCTCTAATAAAATTTTCACTTTTGTAGCTTTATGATGCTTGATGATTTATTTGTTCCATTTTTTAATTGATCTGTCTTTATCACACACAGACCTTCAAGTCAAAATGAAGTTAATAAAGAGGTAAAGTCACCAATTTTTTTCTTTTAGATAATTTTTGTTTTCTTAATTGTCTCTTTTTTTTTTTCAATTTTTTGTTTCTTTATCATTCTTATATTTCATTTATTTATTAATTGTTAATCTTTCTATGCTATGTTGTTAACTAATATATTTTTATAACACTCTCCTTCAAATTGATTTGTTTTCACAAAAAATAGACATGAGATAACAAATGAAATCTTTCCCTTCATTGCCCATTTGTTTTTCTTACAAAAACATTATCTTGTTGATCCCATTGATTTTCTTTTATAGAGAGCAAAATGTAATCTCACTTCAAATGATTTTTTTGGTAACAAAATTATGCATTCATCTAACCGTTCTCATCTTATTTTTCTTTCATCTTGTTGTTTTAAACCATCACCATATCAATAAATTAATCGGAAATAGATTATCTTGCACATGGCATTACTTTAAAATGGATTTTTGTTAACTTAGGCTGTCTGCTACTTTTTTTTTTTTTGAGGTGGGAATTTTCCCAAATTTTAAAATGTAAAATATGAGCTCTTTTGTTTATTTGTATTATCTTTGTGTCTTAATAATATATTAATGTTTGGTTGAGCTAGCTACCTCTTCTATCTAATTCAATTCGATGTAGGTTTTGTGCATAGGCTCTATGTTATCAATAATTTATTGATAATTATATTTTCTTAACAAGTATTTTAATTGAATAATTCTATTTTTCAGGGCAACTTGATGCTGTCAGATGAAGAATTCATTTCTAAACTTGATTATAAAAATTTTCATTTGGTAAATTTTAATTCCTTCTATTTTTTGCCTATGTATTATTCTAATTCGAGCAATATTTTTTGAGAGACTTCTTGTCTAGTCTTATCATTTGATATGATATTCTCTTTATTATATATGTATATGTTAGCCTTATAGCATATATGTCCTTTTTTTTTGCTGATGGACAATAGTGTTGCCTGATACTTATTGATCATGCTAAAGATACATAGCTATTCTTTGGTTTAGAATGTTTAGATGAGGCAATATGAGAAAATTCTATACAAATTTTTTTGTACTTATGCTAACTGCCACTTCTATCAAGGACATCATATAAAGGACTTCTAGATTCATAAGAACATCCACTCTAGTTGATTCATTTACCTCCTCATATGTTAAGCCTTTATTTACAAATAGACTTGGGTCTCTTAATCCAAAGATGCTAAACAATTCTTAGAGTACTAGCCAAACAATAATTGTAGCTGATTTTCTCATGGTTTTTGATTACATGTGGTCCACTAATTGAAGCAAGCTTTCATTCCTAGAATTGCCCATGTAACACATATTATGGACCATCTTTTAAAACCTTTATTGAATTTGCATATTGTAAAAAGATATGATTATTAGTTTTTTATTGAATAGCATGCTTACTACAAAAAAAAAATAGGCTTTGGTTGTTGATGTGGTCCTGCTCCTTGCCAAAGCTTCCCAAATTTGCAAACATTCAACAACCAAATAAAAGCTTCTCTTCTATGACCCATAGATTTATGCATGTTACTTCAAATTCTGACAAAGGACTACCATTAGTTGCAACCCTGTTTTTGCCTGTTATTGCTTTACTTTGCAAGATGCCTTGTAGAAAAATTTGTGTAGAAACCATATAGCTTTTTGTATGTTAAAGCAGTAATGAAAACTTAACAATTTTTTTATATATTTTCTATTCTTTTTTTATTTTCTTCTAATATTAGAGAGGAAAAAATGATCTCTAAATTGTTGTCCTTTCCTTATGTATCGCCTTAATTATAGGTTGCAATCATTCTCTTCGAAGCTGCCATGTTCTTTCCAAGATGTTCGGAGTTGCTAACTTCACTTTCTTTTGAATATTTATTGATTCGAAGCCCAATGGAAAATAATCCCATTAAAACTACCACAATATAATTGGATGGGGATAAATTTTTTTCATTAATACCATTGGTTCGAATATGCATTATGGGGGAGGCAAAATAGACTACATCACTGGAGATGCAAAGTGATCGACTTTAAAGATCCCAATTATACCAAATGGGATGTGAAGAACTCTTTCTTAATTACATAGTTAATTTCATGATCAAAGAGGTAAGTGTAAACTATCTCCATTATTCTACTATCAAAGATTTATGGGACAATATCTCACATATGTACTCCAATTTTGAGAATAAATCTCTAGTGTATGACTACATTTATGAATTGGTGATTTGCCAAGGTGAGGTTTATGTAATAAAATACTTTAATTCCCTTAAAAAAATTTGACAGTAGTTAGACTTATTCAATGATTATGAGTGTAAATCAACTGAGAACTATAAGAATAGGCCGCATCATCAATTTGATTTAAAAAAGGCATTTCTTAATGGATACTTACAGAAGTATACATGAATCTTCATCCATGTTTTGAAGGAAAATCTAATGAAGAACCAAGGTATGTAAGCTTGAGAAAATTTTGTATTGGCTAAGTAATGACCTAGAACATAATTTCAATGATTTGGCATTGTTGCCAGTAGACATAATTTTTAACAAAATCAAGCCAATCATGCCTTATTTTTCAAGCATTCCAATGAATGTAAAATTGCAATTTTTATTATTTATATTGGTGATATAATCATAATTGGAGATGATTTCAAAAAAAAGTTTGAGGTTGAAATGAACTTAAGGGTGATGCGAAACAACTAGGATTTTAAAGAATTGATAAAAGTTTCGTAAGCTTGCTACTTCACGAATAATGGATTACAAGAAAAGATTAAAGAGTTATCTATGGTGACTTGTTTTAGCAATCGGTTGAATTTAGAAGGACTAGCCTATTAAAACAAAATCGACAAATTACAGTAAAGTTTAATGCACTTGTAATAACAATCCATAGGTTAATGTCAAGAGTTTTCACCTCAAGTTTCCTTGTACCTCACTAATGCTCTATGGGAATTAATTACCAGAGAGAAGTCTTGAGCGAACTAGATGATGCCACTTAAGAAGATGGTGACGCCGATGGTATTGATCAAGGGGAAGTACCTGGAGAAGGAGGTAAGGTTGAATGTCCCACGAGTTGCCTCTGCACTAACAATTGTTGCTTGTCGATCACCACGGCTAGGTGAGGAAGTATGTGATCTACATAATCTTCAACTAAATCTTCTCTTCCTTGCTATAGAATCCATGTGGATTGGAGCTTCTAAGAGAAAAGAAAGAGGAAGAGGGGGGTCGGCCAAGGAGAGAGGGGTGAGGTTTGGGTTGTGTGACTTTGGTTTAGGGTTAGGTATTGAAAATGATTACTAAAATCTGAATTTAGTTTTAGATTCATGTAAATTGGGAGGGAATTTGATTTGAAAATTGTTATCAAATTCAAATAAGGTTGGGATGTAAAAAGGAAATCCAAGGTGGAGCTCTGATCATGGGGCCGGCGGCATTAGTAGAGGGAAGGGGGTTTTGTGGAGAGAATTATGAGCTTCCAAAACAAGCTATGTGAGTTAGGAAAGGAATTATTATATCCAATCTAATTTGAAATTCAAATTAGATCTAGATTTAATCACTTTTCTAATTTGGAATTTCAAAAAAAAAAGGAAAGTATTTGAAATTTAAAATTTGAATTTCAAATAATTAGAATTCTTTCCCTCTTGGCTTGGCTTAATTTAGGAAAGCAATTTGGACGAGGGAAATTATCATAATGGTGGGGATTGTGGAGGGGGCCGATGGCATGGGGGAAGGGGATTTGGCTCGGGTGGAGGGGAACAAGCTTTGGGTCGGCGGTGGTGATGAGGTTGGGAGGGGTTGACACAAGGAGGGGAGTTGATGGTGTCCGTCGGGTAGGGAGAAAGAAAAAGGAAGCTCGAGTGGAAGAAAATGGAAGAGAAGCAGAAAAGATATGGAAAAACCAAGAGCTCACCCGCAGGGGCTGTTGGGTACTTCGCTCGAGCCTCTCCTAGGCTCTTTCTCTCTCAAGTGCACACACAAGAAGAAGGAGACAAATCCAAATTTCATTCAAACATTCATTAAAAATTGATACAAAGACTTTGACCACTATATATAGGCTTTGCTAATGAAAATAAACAAAGACGCATACGCCCCTTGGGATACAAAGCACTAAACTCTCTCATATTGGTACAAAGGTCCACTTAAACAAAAATAATAAAATAAAACTAATACAATAACAAAGAACTCAATAATAGATGCTTCCGATCTTGGTGGTCGATTTGCGATATCTCCTATGATAAACATGCTGGAAACAACGACTGATGTCCTCATCAAAGGGCCTGGGAAAGCTTGTGTTTTCTTAGCATGTAGTTTGCTTGATCTAGTGAGGGTATTGTCATCACAACGAAATTATATTCTTGATTTGCTTAAAAAATACAAGGATAATTAGTTGTAATCTGCATAAACTCTAATTGAGCCTAACTTAAAATTAAAACAAGTTATTAAACCATGAATGTTACAAAAGATTAGTAGGAAGATTGGTCTACTTAGACCATACTTGGCTATACATAAGTTATGTTGTAAGTACGGTAAGCTAATATATCCATTCTTCTGTACCCACTCACTTGAAGTTGAGTTTTGTATGTTTAAATACCTTAAAGGAACTCCACGAAAATGAGTCTCATTTTGAAATAAAAAATCATCACCTATACAAATGCTGATTGGGTAAGAGATATCAATGATGGAAGATCTACCTTTGCATACCATATCTTGTTGGGAGGTAAACTAATTACTTAGAAAAAAAAGTGTTGCCGTAAGTAGTGTTGAAGTCAAATTTTAGTTTGTTGCACATGACTTTTGTGAGGTGTTATGGATCAAGTGCATATTTTATTATTTTGTAATCAAAATTTCAAAAAATAAAATGAACCACTAGAAGTTCAAAAGATAAAAATTTGTATGAATTAGTTTACATGTAGGAGCTCAAGAGAAATAGACTGTGAAAGTTGTTGCCATCGCCTATCAAAGCCTTTAACTTCACCTTTTCCATCACCTAAGCACTCACCTGACAAAGTGCTCATGTAACTTGTCGAAGCAGTAGCTTTCAACTTCGCCTGCCTAAACCTTTCCCTTAGCCATCTCAATCACTTGTTGTCAAAGCACTCACCATGCATCAAAGTCAAGACTTCTTATTACATGCCTTGTATTGAAGGAGAGATTGTCTTCCATGCTTGCGTAGAAGTATCATTTAGCATGCTTGTGTCAAAGCAAGAGGTCTTCTCAAGTCCTTGTGTAGCCCTAGTAAATGCTAATAAAAAGAAATTAAAACTACTAAACAAGATATAAACTACATAAATACTAATTTTAAAATTTAAATCATAGAAATCAAAGTAGCACACTATGGGGACTTTGCACTATTGTTTCCCATAGCTCAAAGCCTCAAACATCGCTAGCCTTTTTGATTCATCGTGCCTACCTTGCAGATCACCATCCTTTCCATTATAGCATGTGTTATGCGCTAGTAACATGTATAGTTGGTTTAGATGTCTAAACTTTACTTTTATTCTCAGCAATTAAAAAAGTTGTATTAAATTAGTCAAATCATCAGTAATGTTAAACTCAGTTAAATGAATCACAATAAAATGATGACATAAATACTCCATGGTGAAAGGTCAAATGACCATGATTGCAAGATGAAAAATTATCTCCAACATCAAAAGAATTTAAGGAAAATTATTGAAATTTAACTTCTCATGATTTGATTTGATTATAAATGAATATAATGCCTCTGAATTGAATAGGGTAACCATGTGGTGGTCAAGGATAATGTACTTGGAATGTGTTTGTCAATTTCCTTGAAGTAGGTCACGGAG